TCTAAGTCTTCTTTTTAAATCCTGCCATAAATTTTCAATAGGATTGAGGTCTGGACTTTGAGCAGGCCAAGGGAGAAGTATAACACGATTTTCCTCTTTCCATTGATTTGCCACAGCTGCTTTATGACATGGTGCATTATCTTCTTGAAAAATAAACACACGACTATGACCATAACCATGACCACCATCATCACCATCATCACCACCACCATCACCGCCATAATTCACCTCTCTTAATTCATTAATATAAGGTAGTAAATTTTCTGCAAGATCTTCAAAAATTAACTTGGTTGAGTATTTTGTATGACATCTTGGCAATTATTTTACTAAATAATCTAAAATTTTGGATATAACTAGATTCAAACATAAGACGCATTTTTCACTTATATCGCAAAGGTCGTTAGAACTTGACATTGTGGTCAATTTTCGAGTTAAAGATTTTTTTGAAAATTCCAAAAAATTCATTTTTATTTTTTAAAGTTCGTAAAACAACGAGTTGTTGTTTATATGCAGCGAAACTTCAGTATGCTATACTATTTGATATGGCGATGAATTTTTACTTAATAAGCAAATGCAATTAGGTTAATAAAATTTTTATTTTTTTTCATGTTTCTTTGTTCAATTATTTCCAATGATCTGCAAGTGTCCTTATATTTATGACCAGTGAGTGTACTTGATATTAAATTAATATAATATTGTTTATCAATTTCATCCCATTCCTTTTTTAAAATATTAAGCAATTCCTTTTTATTTTTAGGCTTTCTTTTTGATTTTTTGAGTTGTCTTTCAAGTTGTGACTTATTGGATTCAAATTAGGTGACTGTGAAGGCCAATTCACTAATGTTCTAATTTTATTTTCTTGAATCCAAGCCATTGCATCTTGTGCAGTATGCACTGCGACACTGTCATCTTGAAAAAGATAACCTTTTCCATGAAATTTTTTCTCAATGTAGGGCAACAGGTGTCTTCTCATTATTTCAATGTAATCCCATCTATCCATAGTTCCATCTACTAAAATGAGGAGTCCTAATCCTCTACTTGAAAAGCAACTCCAAACCATAATGCTACCACCATTATTTTTTACAGTCAGTACCAAATTTTGTTTTCAAAACATGTACCAGAAGTTCTTCAGACATGATTTAGTAGTTATAAATATTATAATTGAAATCAAAATGCAGGCAGAGCTTGCTGGATAATTATAAGATTCTTGATGATGATAAATGAACAATTGGTATTTTGCTTTGTGTAATCATAATCAATATTAATATTATTATAATTACAAGATGTTAGTATACCATTGAGAAAGAAGCATTTCGATATGTGATGTTTGATTATTGGAAATTTGACAATTGTCAAGACACTCATATTACCTTGAACACCATACAGTCATCCTCATATACACAAAGCTAATATGACTAAATTTTCCCGATGATACAATGATGCAACAGAATTCCAGGGGGATGCAAACTTCTGGAGTTTACCAAGGCTGCACTAATCAATCAATGAAGTTTTCACTAATCTTCCTCACAGCACCTAGACCAGAGAAGGCTGCTGACATGTTAGACAAAAAATTGCCTGTAATGATCCTACCCTAGAGGTTGCAGCATTTTGAAGTTGTAACATTTAGGCATCCTTCCACACAACAATAAAACATTATAATTCATTGAGAGCACCATGCATAAGTATATGCAGTACCCTCATGAACAATGACTAGCTGAGATCCCAATGTCAGAATTAGTAACAGTATTGTTAGAAGCCAAAGGGCTTTCCGTCTTCCTTGATGCCAGACTCTCCAGCATTACACCAAAAGATGTTAATTTCATGAAAATTATGATTTTAGAATTTTTTTTTTATTCTGAAGGATGACTTATAACTCTTTTTTATAAAAGCAATAAAAGCCATCCTTCATTTTCTACAAGTTAAATTAACACTTGACACACACATCAGAGAGATCCAATATATATAGAGTTGTATTATAAACATGGAGATATGAAATTCCTTTTGATGTATTTTCACACACAACAGAGGAAGTCATATGCTTTATTCATTGTTCATTCCAATTTTCAATTGAATGCAGCAGAAAGATTACACAATAAGCATATATTATGGAATTTATTCTATTGACATGAAATAATAGGTGGGAATATTTACAACATTAACCATCAAATCAATAAAGATAAATATGGAGTTGTCCTTGAATCACTGTTAATCATAGATCCTTCTTGTTCAACCACATGAAGGTTATTGATCAAATGAAGAAGAAAATGATGATTGATGATTTTCCAACAGAAGATGAAACTCCTCCCTTATGAATTAATAATGTTAATTGTTGTCATGTGGCAACTGTTCTCCCTGTTATACACATGACCATACTGATAAGGTAGTTAGTAAATTATTTTTCCGACTTTCTTTTCTTTTTAGGTTCTTTCATGGCTTGTTTTAATATTCTTTAATTTGTGATCCATGAATGAAGCAGAGAATTCTTGTGATCAGTGGTGCAAAAATGGTAAAAAATCATCAGTTGACAATGTTTAACAAATAATAAAGCACAATGTTTTGGTATTACAAACTTTATTCTTTTTATGTATCAAAATATTAAAGGGCTTGGAATGTTTCTTGAAAACTTTTATACACAGGAAGCTGAGATTTCAAGAAGTTCATAACATATAAAAATTTGGAATTTTTTAATTTTCAGCCAACACTATCAAGTATTCTGACCAGGGCTATACATTTTTTTTCAACAAAAAAACTTTTATTTTACCAAATGGACCAATATTGTTATAAGTCAAGTCAATAAAATAACTGAAAAAGAATTTTAAAATAGTATTCAACGATCTTGAAAGAATTCTAAGGTTGTTATTTATACTTTTTGTTTTAGACAGGAGAGTTAATGTGTGAGATTTGGGAATTTTCTTATTTTATTAATAACAATTACGTAGCACCAAAATTTTATATTAAAATGTCGATCATTTCTGATTCATTCGCGAATCAATAATTTTTCTTTCTTGATAAATTTCACGGGTAATTTTCCCTTTCCTTGGATAAGTTTCCATTGTCCAAGTATCATTTATTTTGAAACATAAGGATAAATTTTTTCTCCATGCTCTTTCTTCCAGCTATACTATAACTCCTGGGTTCCGTAGCAGATATGATATTTTTATGCAGAAGCAAAAAATAAATATTATGCATGATTTGAACCCTGAAATTCTTGGTAATACAAATGTTCGCTTTTACTTTTTTGCAGCACGCCCACATCCAAGAAAATTTTTTAATCTTTAAACCAACATAGGTTTCTTGCCATATGTCTTCTTCGCAATATCAACCAACCATTATTTGAAAGTTGGATTTTTCTCAAATAAAAATAAAAATCGTCACGTGAAATGATAAATTTTTGAAGATTATCATTATTTATATATATAGAGAGAAAAACATTAAATTAACAATAAAAATATAACAAATTAGAATTAAAAATGTCACCAATTAGAAACAAAACAATTTCAAGAGTTTTACAACAAGAACTCGATCCAAAAGATATGCCAGAAACTGCATTTATTATTTTCTTTTCTTTTAAATATAGAGAGGCATTAGATTATATGTTTTTTTGGCCAGAGGTATTTATTAACATCATTATTGTTATTGTTTGTGTGATAATTACTCTCTAACAAATATATTAAAAGGATTTGGAAGAAGCACTTTGTAAAAATGAAAGAGATGAAATTTTGGAAAGATTATTGTTATATTTTCTAAAGAATCTAAAGAATCAAGACAAACTTATCGAGTAAAGTATAGATTTATTATTAGATTTTATTAAATATTTCTTTTAACATAAGAAATTAATATTTACGAATAATTTTTCATTAATTAAAATTTAGTCCAATTTCTTTACATAAAGAATTAATGAGCTATATCGATACCACTATGCAAGAAGATAAAGATACTTACACCAGGGTCAATCCTTTAAAAAATGTGGAGAATTTTTATAAACTATCAGTTCGTGACAAGGTTAAATAATATTTATATCAATGAGTGATTTATTGTTTATACCAGTGAGTGATTTGATAAGTAATAAAGATTTCATTATGTCTATTTTATAGGTTCAAATATTAAAAGATATGGTAATTAAACAATTTTATGTTTCCACAAAAATCAAAGAACTTGCCAAAGCAAGATATCCAACAAGCAAAAGAAACAATACTATTCCATTTGACGTTGAGAAATTAGGATCAGATTCTGATGGTTCTAAATATTATTATGTTGGAAGTAAGTTTTCTAATTTGCAGGAAAATAAATATAAATATTATATTTCGTGTAAATATTAGTCCTTTATTCAAATATAACCTTATGATAGTTGGATCTAGGATTTATAAAGAATCTATCGTCAACGACAATAACGTTTCATGGAGTGTTAGTACTACGACAGTTGAAGATGTAGCAAACCTTGAGAAACATTTTGAGAAGCGACTTATGGGAATTCCACCCGATCAACAACATACCGATGAAAAGTCTTTTTATCAAAATTTACAAACTATTATTTCTCCCATTATATGGCAAACTTTAGAAAAAGTATGTATATCAATATTTAGAATATTAAAGACGCATATAATGTGCATGTAATAATATTTTTTCTCCACTAGGAACAAAAACTACCAAGAGAAACAAGATTAAGAATATATAAAGTACGTCAAAGTCAGCTCATACAGAAAAAAATTGAATTATCAAAAAAGGATAACTATAGTGAAATTATTGAATCGTCGTCGTCGTCGTCATCATCATCACCACCAACACTATCACTGCAATCGTCATCAACAACACCATTGCAATCACCATCAATTACACAACAACATCAACAGCAAGAAGATTATCAAAATGTGACAGATGAAAGCATATCTCCAGTTCATGAAAAAAATAAATCAGAATCTTTACCTCTGCGTGAAGATGGTGGCATTCTTGAAATAAACGCAAATGCAAGTGTTGCTGGTGTGAGTAAGAAACGAAAATCGATTATTAGTAAAGAAAGTGCATCGACTCAATCCATAATAATAAATGATAATGATAAGTTGTTGAATGAAGAAGATCGTAAAAAGGAAAGTATTATTATTGCATCGTCTCCAAAAAGAGCTACAAGATCGGAACAAGATCAATCCACTACTATCATGGAGTCTTCTTCTAAAAAAAATAAAAAAAGAAAGGTGACAAATAAAGAAGTTGACTTTGATTCAACAACGCTATTATCACCTGAAAAAATAGAAAAAAATAATTTAAAATCCAAGAAAAATAATTCTCCAAAAAAAGGAAAAAATCTGGGTAAAATAAAATCTGGAACCAATAATAATAATACTTTGCAAAATAAAAAATCAGTAGTAATAGTACCAGTAATAGTAGTTGGCTCATCTAATAAAAAAATTCATATACCTAACAGTACTGAATTACAAAAACTCAAATGGTCACTTAATCATCGATTTTTTCTTGAGGAGGAAGCAAAATATGACGAATCAGAGATTACTGATGCAGAATTATCATCATTGATTGATTGAGAATATAGTTTTTCTGTAATATTCTTTGATTACTAATATAAATATTTTCTTCTATCAACCTTCTCTTCCCTCTTTTTCTTTTATTTATATTTGATAATCAAAAGTGCCCTTTTTTTAATTGATATAACGATCGTGATATAAATAAAACTCTGAATTTAAATATTAAAACATAGATTTTATATTATATGATGACAACAATCCTCTAAAAGTAAATAGAGTTTTATAATGTACAACTACACACCTTCTTTATAATCTTTATCAAAATAATATAATTATATGGGACAACGTTTGTTGCACAATATGTAAATTTGGTTGTCTTTTGTTGGTCAAAAACTTCAAACACTCTTTATGTGATTACGATAGCTAATGGTTTTTACAGTTATAGAAACCCGCCATTTTTTTCACAATAGTGATATTTATTAAGTGTTCGCTCTCTCAAAATTAAATTAACAATCTAACGAATAAAAATATTTTACTCATGTTCACTTTAAAAGCCTTGACTGTAAGGTAAAAGAGCTAGTCGCTTTATTGAAAATGTCTCTAATAATTTATAAATAATTATTTATTGTAAAATTGAAAAGAAACAATATTAATCGTAATAATAACGATGCTAAGATAATTAAACATTATAATAATTATAATATAAAAGAATGATATTATAAAGTTAATTCCTTCATCTATTCATCGATTCATTCATTCATAGTCTATATGTTGTATGTAATGCATGCATGTATTGTTAATATTAATATATAATACGATGGTTTCTTTTCCTTTTTCTTCTTTTTTATTTGTTTATTTTCTAACCATCTCTTTAAATCTGATCCATGAATATAATCCTGATCCAAACAATGCAAGGAAAATACCTGTACCATTCTATTTTAATATTAAACGAAAAATAGAGAGGGAAATACAATAAGATTATTGTTGTTATTATTATTATCATAATTATATAGATAAAGCAACATGGTCAGGACTTGTCATCTATAAACTCTTACCATTGGAGAGATAGGATTTTGGAAGTACCAGGCTGCCAAAGCAGTTTGCACACAACTCTTTGCAGTGCCAGAGATGGTATTTGTTAACGGTGTAGTGAATTTAATTTGTAAAAACATTGCAATGTTGATGATGAATCCTGTGATACCAGTAATTGTCATTAAAAACCAAAAACCAAATTCATGCAAGAAATATACATCTGCAATTGCTTTTAATTCACCGGATAACAGAACCATTGGAAACAAGAAAACTATCGATATCGTTGTATTATAATGAAGAAGTCTCCTATTAATTTTATCATAGTGCATGATGGAAGATTATTATTAGTAAATGTATAGTAATTATAATTATTAAAATGTATAGTAATTATAATTATTAGTAAATGTATAATTATTAAACTGTATAATAATTATAATTATTATATTTACCATTGATTATTATCAACATACACAAGTGTTTTCTTAACATAAATACCATAAAGTGCAACAAACGCACTTGAGGCAACTCCATAAATTATTCCTTCCCATGAGAAATTTAATTCTCCATAAGATCCTATAACAAAACCTATAAACACTATACCACAACTGATTAATGCTGCAAATGATGTTTTTTGTCCAAGTAAAGTGTATGTGAATATTATATTAAATATAATTGATAACGATCTTGCTACCTAGAAACATTTGAATAGATTATGCATGTTAGAGAGACTTTGAGATTATTATCATTTAATATTTATTTACCTGATAAAAAGTAACCTCGACATATTGTAAACATAAATTATTGAAAGCCAACATCATCACATACATAAATGTCAATGGCATAACTTTTACAGCAATACCAAGATCAAATTCATGTGGTGGAATTATTGATAGTGCTTTAATTCTATCATCAGTAAATAAAAATTATGTTTATATACTGTTATTAAAAATAATTTTTTAAAAGAGTGGGAGAAAAAAAAAACAAGCGTATAAACAAACGTACCTTTTACCAAGACTACCCCAGATCACTAACACTACTAAGGCTATCATCAACTGATACCATGTTACAAACAGTGGATAGGGGAATTTATACTCTGAAGTACTCAGAATAAATTTATTTAAAAATACAAGAGATAAAGAAGCTGCCCAATAAAAAGCCACAACTGATAAAATTACTGTGGCCGAATGATTTTTTTGATGATGAGAGTAAGCTGAAGTGGTGGTGGTTGCTGGTGGTGGAAGTGAAAGTTTCTCATCAATATTTTTTTCATCAGGAGAAACCATCTTTGGTTATTTATTATTTGGTGGTGGTAATGGTTGTTATTATGGTATTATTTGTCAATGTTTGTTCCTTTTACTCACAAGATTGAATATTTTTTTAAAAAAATAAAAAAAGATAGTTGTCTTTATTATTAATAATATATATTAAGCTATTCTTTTTATTTATATTAAAAATTTAAATTTTTCCAAATTAGGAGGTATTTTATATTTCGTACTACAAGGGATGTTAAATATAAAGGTTGAAAAAGACCTCGGAAAATACATAGAAAGGTTACTATGGGGCATATAATCTTGTAATAATAGTTATGACCAATTTTCAATAAAATGGAGATTTTAACCAACATGAAAAACACCCCAATTCACAAAATAATATGCTCGTGCCATAGTGTTAAAAAAGGGAAAGTAATTTATATAAAGTGTTATAACAATAAGAAACCATTCTTCCTATGGTACGGACCTCTTAAACCACCAATTCTGTATGTGATTTTTAAAATAATAGAAGTTCATTTCTGTATATCATTTTTTAAAAAATAGCTCTGTTATGACATAGATTAGGACCCAAGCTTTAATGTGACAGAGAGTTTTTTTCAAAATATTGGTGGGTTGTTGGGTTCTATTCCTTTTTGTACATGTATTTTACTATGTTCACGAGGAATTTGGCCACTTAAATTTGGGCGGAAATTATGACATCTGCTGATCCTTTTTTAAATTCTGGTCAGAGTTAAAAAATCGTGTAACAGTAACATTAACGCGTCAATATTTTTTATTTACTCAAATATTCATTCCAATAAATTTACATATATTGTCTTTAAGTATTGATTAAATATGCCACCAAAAAAAAAGAAATTCCCAGATTAAAACAGCTAGACTTTCAAAAAAATTAAAAAATGAAAATAAACCTAATAATTTATTTGTTCAAAACACTCTCTTGCATGAACAACCTTTTGATTTTGTGTCAGAAACTGATGATGATAAAACTATTTATGAATCAGATCATAATG